TAGCCATTTTTGCTCTCTTTGGGTTACCATTTGCATGGAATATTTTTTTCCATCCCTTACTTTCAGTCTATGTGTGTTCTTTTTTTAAAATTATTTAAAAAAAATTTTTCCTTCTCTCCAAAGCTCCCCAGTACATAGTTGTATATTTTAGTTGTGGGTCCTTCTAATTGTGGCATGTGGGACGCCGCCTCAGCACGGCCTGATGAACAGTGCAAGGTCCACACCCGGGATCTGCACTGGTGAAACCCTGGGCCTCTGAAGCAGAGCAGGTGAACTTACCCACTCAGCCACGGGGCCTGCCCCTATGCGTGTTCTTAAAGCTAAAGCGAGTATCTAGTAGGTGGCATATTTCTGGATCTTGTTCTTCATTTATCCATTCAGTTACTTTGTGTCTATTAATTGGAGAATTTAGTTTACTTATATTTAAAGAAATTATTGAAAGGTAAGGATTTACTATTGCCATTTTGTTAATTGTTTTCTGACTGTTTTTTAGTTCATTTGTTCCTTTCTTCCTCTCCTACTATTTCCCTTTGTATTTTATATTTTTGTATTTATATGCTTTAATACCTTTCTCTTTACCTTTTGTGTAACTACTATATGTCTTATCTTTGTGGTTACCATGCAGCTTAAATAAAACAGGTTATGGATATAACAGTCTATTTTAACCTGCTAACAACTTACTCTCAGTCACATACAAAAAGTATACTTTTACTTTTCCTCCCAAATTTTTGCTATGATGTCACACTTTACATGATTTTTTTTTTTGAGGAAGATTAGCCCTGAACTAACAACATCTGCCTCCAATCCTCCTCTTTTTGCTGAGGAAGACTGGCCCTGAGCTAACATCTATGCCCATCCTCCTCTGCTTTATATGTGGAACGCCTTCCACAGCATGGCTTGATGAGCTGTGCATAGGTCCACACCTGGGATCTGATCCAGTGAACCCTGGGCTGCAGAAGCAGAACATGCGAACTTAACCTCTGCACCACTGGGCTGGCCCCACTTTACATCTTTTTATATTGTGCATCCATTAACAAATTATTGTAGCTATGGTTATTTTAAATATTATTGTTTTAAACTTTGAAACTAGAGGTAAAAGTGATTTACACATCATCATTATAGTATTAAGGCAATCTGAATTGACTATATATTTACCTTTACAGGTGAGTTTTATACTTTTATAAGTTTTCATGTTATTACTTAGTGTTCTTTCATTTCAAGAACTCCTTTTAGCATTTCTTGTAAGGCAGGTCTAGTGGTGATGAATTCCCTTAGCTTTTGTTTGTCTGGGAATGTCTTTATCTCTCCTTCATTTCTGAAGGACAGTTTTACTGGGTTTATACTATACTGTGATTTCTAAGAAACATATATTTGGTCATCTGAATGACCATCTATATTTCTCATATATATCTGGTTTTCATCTATGGTTCCTGCTCACAGCCCCGAAAACCCTTGGAAATTCCTAAGTGATAATAGCAATAAAGGGTTTTTTGTTATGTTAATGAGGTGACCTTTGGACCAGCACCTAAGGATGTGGGCTGGTTTCCAGGAGAATCAACCACGTGATTAGAGGGTTGGAACTTTCAGCCCCACTCCCAGATCATCAGGAGGAGAGAGGGGCTAGAGTTTGACTCAGTCACCAATGGCCAATGATTTAATCAATCATGCCTATGTAATGAAGCCTCTATAAAACCCCAAAAAGATAGACTTCTGAGCTTCCAGCTTGGTGAATATGTGAAGATGTGGGCAGAGTGATGTGCCTGGAGAGGGCAGGGAAGCTCTGCACCCTTTCCCCACACCTTGCCCTGTGCATCTCTCCCATCTGGTTGTTCCTGAGTTATATTCTTTTACAATATACGGGTGACCTAGTAAGTAAAATGTTTCTCTGAGTTCCGTGAGTCACTTTAGCAAATTAATCAAACCCAAGGAGGGGGTCATGAAAACCTCTAATTTATAGCCAGTTGGTCAGAAGTACAGCTAAACACCTGGACTTGCATGGTGGTTTGGGAAGAAGTCCCCAACCAGCCCCCAAGACACATGTGTTGAAGTTGGCTACAGGAACCCGAAAGAGCAGTATTCTTGGTTGGCAGTTTTTTCTTTCAGCACTTTGAATATATCATCCCACTCCCCCCTGGCCTGCAGTTTCTGCAGAGAAATCTGCTGATAGTCTTATGGCAGTTCCCTTGTATGTGTTGAGTCATTTTTCTCTTGCTGCTTTCAAAATTCTCTCCTTGTCTTTGATTTTTTTTTTTTACTTTTTTGAGGAAGATTAGCCCTGAGCTAACATCCATGCCCATCTTCCTCTATTGTATACGTGGGACGCCTGCCACAGCATGGCTTGATGAGCGGTGCATAGGTCTGCACCTGGGATCCAAACTGCGAACTCCGGGCCACCAAAGTGGAGTGTGAGAACCTAACTGCTATGCCACTGGGCCAGCCCCCTCTTTGTCTTTGATTAATGTTTTGATTATGTCGTGTCTTGGAGTAATCTTCTTTGAGTTGATCTTGTTTGGGGTCCTTTGAGCTGCCTATACTTGGATACTCATCTCTCTCCCAAGACTTGGGAAGATTTTTGCTATTATTTCTTTAAATAATCTTTCTGCCCCTTTCTCTCTTCTTCTGGGATGCCCACGATGCAAATGTTCATTTGCTTGATGGTATTCCATACTTCATGTAGGCTTTCTTCACTCTTTTTCATTCTTTTTCTTTTTGTTCCTTTAATTTCAAATGATCTGTCTTTCAGTTCACTGATTTTCTTCTGCATGATTGATCTGTTGGTTAAACTATTGAATTTTTCAGTTCTGTCACTGTATTCTTCAGCTCCAGGATTTCTGTTTGGTTCTTTTATTTGGTTTCTATTTCTTTATTAAACTCTTCATTTTGTTCATATATTGTTTTCCTGATTTCATTTAGTTGTTTATCTGTGTTCTCTTGCATTTCACTGAATTTCCTTAAGATGATTCTTTTGAATTCATTGTCAGGCATATCATAGATCTCCATTTCTTTGGGGTCACTGGAGCTTTATTAGTTTCTTTAGTGGTGTCAGGTTTGCCTAATTCTTCATGATCTGTGTAACTTTGCGTTGGTGTCTATGCATTTGAAGGAGTGAACTCCTCTTCCAGTCTTTACAGAGTGATTTCAGCCAGTAAAAACCTTCTCCTCTTGGTTCCCTGGGCTGAGAGGATTGCCTCCAGAACTGCAGCTGTGCTGGGCTGAGGTCAGTTTTGAGGCTGTTGCTGGGTCTGCAGTGTGGTCTGCTGTTGACCTGCTTGTTACTAGGGGGTTGGGCAGGCGTGGATCCAGTCTGGTCCCTGGGTGGGGGGGACTGCCTCCATCCAGTGCCTTCTTCAGTAGGTTAACCCTGGGACAAGGATCCACTTCAGGGTCCACAGGTCCTCAGTCAGTGAGACTACTACCAGGTATGTGGATGGATGTGGCTCCCACTAGGTCCCTGGTCAGCTCCTGCCTAGTCAGTGGATGGGTCCCTGGGTGGGCAGGATTGGCCCTGGACCATGGTTGAGAGAGGCTGGAACCAAGTCCAGGGCTGGTTCAGGTTCCACAGCCAAGACTGAGGTCTGCACACCTGGCTCTGGAGGTGTGGAGGGCTATGTTTCCTACTAGGTCTCTGGGTAGGCTGAGTGATCCCTGACCATGGCTGGAGAGGCTGGAACAGAGTATAGGGTCCTTTTTGGACCTCCTGAGGTGCAGACACGAGTGTTTCCTGGCAGGTCCCTATGCCAACAGGACTTCTTGTGGACTGCTGCTAGGAGGGGGCTAGAGCTGAATACCATTTCAGAATCTCCAAGGTTGTAGACATGAGTGTCCCCTGCTGGTTTTCTGGACCACAGGACTGCTGGCAGACTGTGGCTCTGAGAGGGCTGGAGATGTGGATAGGGTGCTTTCAGGGTATCTGGTGGTGCAGATGGGAGTGTCTCCCTCCAAAGCCCTGCACACTCAGCACTGCTGGAAGACTGTCTGTGAGGGGGCTGTGAACAAGCACGGGGCCCTTTTAGGGTCTCCAGCGATGCTGATGGGGGTGTCTCCTGCAGGGTCCCTGTGCCAGCAGGACTCTGACAACTGTGGCTGGAACAAGTTGGAGTCCAGTTACTGGGCCTTTTAGAATCTACAGTCTGACTGGGTGTGGTAGGCTTACCTCCAGGGGCTCCTGGACTACAGCCTAGAGGGGCTGTAGCTGGTTCATGGGCCACTTCAGGGCCCACAGCTGGGACCAAGTTCTGTACACATATTACCTGGTGCACAGGTGGGCCTAACTCCTCCTGGATTCCCTGGCGTATGGGGCTAGTGACAGGACCAAGCCAAACAGGGCTGTAGCTGAGTTCTCAGAGGTATAAAGCTATTTCCAATTCTGCAGCCAGGCCCATGGTCAGCAAGTTGGCCGCCTGGGTGTGAGCCTGCCTTCTCAAAAGGCTCTCCTCAGTCCTGGATCGCACTGGGGTTTCCAAATGTCCTAACTGGATCCCAAAGCTCCCACAAGGCACTTCTGTCCATGAACGGATGCAAATAATTGTTGTTGGGGGGGAGGTTGTGAGACATGGGAAGGACATCTTATCCAGCCATCTTGCCAATGTCACTTTCAAATTTTGCTTTAATAAGAAGAGATTCTTCATCACAGTCACATAAAATGGTCTTATGACCATAAATAATTTTGTAGCTGTTTTTGTGGTATCGATACTTAAAAACTATAAATAGCATACAGAATAACTGATGTGATGTCTAAAGGTAGATATTCTTTTTGGTAGGGATTAAGGTAAAAATTACACTCTTTCTAGGAAATATGCCATATGGGAGTTCTGGCTGAAACCTCAGAAGTTTGTCATGCTTGATATCCTAAGTATTTTTAGTTGTAAAATCTTGGGGTGGTGAAAGCTCATTTTGTAATGCTAGTTTTTCAGGACTATCAATAATTTCCAAATTTAAATAGTCTATTCTGAAATATTTTTTCAACAGTGTCTCCTACTTTTAAGTAAGAAGTACTATACCTCACTTTCTTTTTCTGGATGTTTTTCAACCCACATTCTTGGGAGATATGCATCAGACAAACCGATGTGGAGAGAAAATCCACTGCTGTCTAAGGAGCTACCTTCCACGGTGCTAATTACAGCTTTGCAGTCTGTACTCTAGAAAATAAACAACCATGAGAACAAAGTAAATAAGGGAATCATACCATATTATCCATTTGCACTTACCTGTCAAGTAGCAAACTCTTGCATAATCTACCTAACTCCATTAAGAATCAACAACGTGGTAATAAATTCTAAAATTATGAACTGTAGGTTTTAGAAGTGTGAATATTATCATATAGTTACCCTCCTGAACTTCTAAGGTTCATATACACAGTCAAATTTAGGTGAGTCTGAGACAGTCTCAAACCCTGGATCCAAAGATTCTAGATTTGTGTATTTAGTCAGACTTATCTGCATACTGCAGAAAGTACACCAAATAATCATAACTTAGAATAGTAAAATAGAAAATTCAACAGAAATCTTACAATTACATCTTATTTTAAAATTATATTTTCATAAATATAACTTTTGAAAATGTAGATGATAAGCTTTAAAATGATAAAGGCAATGTAGTAGATTATAAAAGGACCACATGCTCTTTCCATTCCTGTGTGCTCGCCCCTTTGCTATGTGACTTTGCAGCTCCTCCTGTCAGGAGGTAGTATCTTTTCTCTGCCCTTGAATCTGTAGTTGGCCATGTGACTTGCTTTGGCCAGTGAAATATTGGCAGGCATGATGTAAGGAGAGGCTTGAAGAGTGTTTGATCAATGGGGTTTGCCCTCCCTTGTTGCTACTGAGAACTTTCCACTACCATATGAATGAACCTGAGCTAACCTGCTGGATGATGAGAGACATATGGCCATCAACTTAGCTGATACTAGGCCGACAGCCAGGTATGGGAGTGAGACCATTCTAGACCATTCTGTCCCAGCCAAGCCAGCCCAGCCTAGAAGAGCTGCCCAGCCAATCCACAAAACTGTGAGAAATAACAAAAGCTTGTTGTTTTAAACCACAAAGTTTTGAGATTGTCTATTATATAGCAAAAGCTATCTGAAACAGAGGGCTGCTTGCTCAGGAGGGATTCAATACATGTGTTTATTTCCATTCCCTAGCAAAAGCCTAAAACTCCCTACAATAAAAGGGTATAAACTCATAAAGATATTGAGAACAGAAACAAAGATAATAGCAGACGAAAGATGTCAACAAATTTTAAGAAGATGCAAAGTTGATAGAGGCATGGTAGGTGACTTAGCCAGAGTGGAGGAAGCTACGACCTGAGTCCTGTGGAGGGGACAGCCACAAGCAGTGGGCTCAACAGCCCTACAGCAACCTGGGAAGGCTCACACCTTAGAGGCACCAGGTACTGCAGAAAACTGCAGGCAGTACTATTGGATAGACTCTGTCCTAAGCTGTCGGATCCCCAGGCTCCCTCCTGGCTCCAAGAAGACAAGCAGCCAGCACCCTGTTCTCTCACTAAAGGAAACTGAAGATTTATTATTTAGAGAAATTCAACCAAACAGAATCCAGACTTGGGAATCCAGGTACAATGAAGCACAGGTGTACAGGGCAGCAAACAAGGGAATGAAGGAAAGTCACATCCTAAGATGTGGGGCTCTTCGTCACCCTCCCCAGTCGTCCTCTGTGAACACCCTAGAGGACTTCTGAATAACACAGAAGGGCTGAAACTCCACCATCAGACACACCACCAAATAGCCAGCCAGCTGCCGGGGCTCAAGTCAAGGGCTCTCGGCCACTCCCCCACTCGCCTCAGAGCAGCTAACAAGCGTTCTGTGTCTCGTGTGGATATTTTTAGATACTGCTGCCCGTACACTCTTACTAGGAAGTTAATGGAGGTTGTGCTTTGCCAAATGGAGGGAACAGAACAAGAACATTAAATGGAGACCCGAGGGGAGCAGCTGCCCCACGGCAACAAGCTGGTGGGGAGTGGAGATTCGGGAGGAAGGAGGTCTCAGGGGAAAAAATGAATTGACAGATTATCTGATGCATTCAATAGTGAAAAATAGTATTGAGAGGGGTTTTAATGGCTATGTTAGAGCACATGAGAAGAAACAGTCCTGGAAAACTAAGCAAATAAAAAAGGCAACCTTTTTTTTTCAGGAAATACTATGTAAATAGATTTAAAAAAAAGACTATGTTATCATAATACATGTCTTGGCTCAACGTAAACATCATTGACATGGTTCTAATAATTTAAACATTGACTATTGATTTAGCCAAAAATTGTGATATAACTTTTGGAACGAAGGGGAGAGAAAAAGTGGAGAGGGAGGTGAGCAGAGGGGGTGAGAGAGGTGATTTTCATCTACCACAATAGGAAGTCAAAAGATAACTTTTGAAACAGATGAATCAAGAACATGCAGTAAAAAATTATTATTTAAAACTCTGGAGGCCACTAGAAAAGAACTAAAATATTTAAAGTGGTTCACATAAAACAAGGTTATGTTTGGATTGGTTGACGAAAATGTTGGGGTCAGAGGCTGGCAGGAACCCCACCCTCTATCTCCCCCAGGAGCCGTGGCTTGGTGTTTGCTCCTTCAGTGTTTGTGGCTACTGTATAGAATATAACTATCACCAGCAAGAATGGACTGTAATCGCTAGGGCCACTCTAGGACCCCTGCCCCGCTGGGAGGCAGGCCTGTGGGCACAGAGCTGTCCGTGGTGCTGCCCAAGTGAGCAACTCAGCTTTAGGGGACCATGTCTCTCCCATAACTGTATCCACTGGATTCAGGGGCCCAGAAAACCTCAGTGGAATCAATGGTGAGGACCAGAGAGGCTGGAATGAGAGTCCTTTGTGTAAAGTTCTGTCCACATGTGGGTTCGTGGGATTCTCTACACTGCTGCCTTGCGTATCTCAGTCGGCAGTCTGGCTTACTGGCCCCAGCGCCAGGTGGCAGGAAGACAGGGACAGAGAGAGTTCTGGAGGTTAGGGAGCTCTCTGCTCCCAGGGGATTTCTTGCCGGTTAGGCCTTGGGGAAGAAGGCAGGGAGGAGGGGTTTACCTGTGGGAAAAAGAGAGCACTGATTTCACAATCCACACAAGGGCCCAATTACTCCTCATGTGTTTATTCACAGTTATTGCACCATGTGATCCAGGGCCACTGGAAGGTTTGGGATCCAATGACCTCATCTGAGCAAGCCACAGTGCTGACAGAGACATGCAAAGTAGCAGCACAGAGGGTCATCATGAACCCACATGTGGATAGAGCTTCACAGCTTATAAAGGACTTTCATAGCGGCCTCTCTTGCCCAGTCCTCATCATTGATTCCACAAGGGTGGCAGGTCAGACCATCTGACAGATAGAGTCACTGAGAGTCAGACAGGTTCAATGAATTGGCCACCTGGCTAGGGAGGAGTAGAGTCATGACCTGAACTCAGGTATGTTTGACTGCAAATTCTAACACTGCACTGTGCCCCAGGAGTCAGAATTCTCACTCAACCTTGACCTTCCTAGCTCTTGGACTGGGACTGTGGGGTCTCTGTGTCTGTCTCCCTATCCCTCCCTCCTGTCCTCCCTCTGAAGAGAGGGGGGTCCCTTCTCCCTCCCCCTTCACTCTCTCGCTTTCTTTAACGAACATTATGACTTCATCAAAAGTCATACATTCACGGGAAAAAGTAGAATAATCTTACTATTAAAAATATTAAGTAAAAAAGAAAAACTATCCTCTGTTAGGTTCAGCTCCTGTCACCTGATGTTTGTTTCTAGAGTTTCCATGTGATTCACGTGGCTGTAGTTAGTGTGTCTACAGCTTTCAAATTCTGCTCTTTCACCAAACATTGTATCACACACATTTCCATGTATCTACTTGTCTCCATAGGCATCCTTTTAAAAGATTGTCCAAGATTTGGTTTAGGACATATAGCATAATTTACCTAGAGTCAATGTCAATAATTGCAGAATATTATTTTCTTTTTTCTCCTTCCTTATTATTATGATTTTTTGTTATTATATTATTTTCTTTCATTTAATAAAATAGGAAACATCTTTGTGCATAAGGCTTTTATTTTTGTATTTTTTACTTCTCTTTCATAAGGCAGATTCACAGAAGCAGGAAAATCATTCATTTACTTTTCAGAGAGGATATAATGATTTTTGTTCTCTAGGAATATTGAGAGTTCCAAGTTCAATGCACCCTTGCTGGCTTCAGCTACTACAACTTTTTATTAACTTTACTGGAGTAAAATTTATGTAAAATAAGCTGAGTCTATGCAAAGTGAACAATTTGATAAGTTTTGATGGCTGTCCACACTTGTGAAACCACCAGCACAATCAAGAAACAGAACGTTTTGGGGCAACCACTAATCTTTCTGTCACTCTAGTTTTGCCCTTTCTGAAATGTCACGTGAATGTGATCATACAGTTTGTATTATGCCTAACTTTTTTGCTCAGCATGATTTTGAGATTTATCCATAGTGCTGTGGATCAGTAGTTTGTTTTTCTTGCTGGTAATAAAACTGGTCCATTGAATGGCTATATCACGAGTCATGTGTCCATTCTCCTAGTTCCAATTTGGAGCTATTATGAGCAAAGCTTCTATGAACAAAAAAATAAATCAATAAAGTGGTTCCCTGTCTCTCGATGCTGGTTCGGGGGAGAGGCAGAGTGGAGACACACTGCTGCTTCCTGTGAGAAGCTGTTGTTAGCATTACTTAACTTTTTAAACCATGTGCATGTATTGCTTTGATAAAATAAAATTAATGTGAAAATAAGAGCTCTTAAGAAATAAAGTAAAGATTTACCAACCTTTTGTCTCAGTTCATGTGTATCACTGGAAATGAATTCAATCACGTACGGCATCTCAATAGACATACTCAAAGAGAAACTACCAAAAATGAAGAGAAAGTTGTGTTAGTCTAACATCTTAAACACAAAACGACTACAATAGTAAGTTGTTTCATATAATTGAGTACTTGTTTCATATAATTTTTAACGAAAATTTAAACCATAAAACTAACATCCACGGAATATTGACAGGTTTTATGTCTGAGGTACTAACCTTTGCTGTGCTCCTATTTCCTTTATACAAATCTTCTCTACTGTATCCTGTTACAAGAAAAAGAAACATGTATAACTGAGTATCTACTAAGTTTCACAATGAGACTAAGCTGAATGTAATTTCACCAAGGCCCAACCTACAGCAGCAACAAGACAGCTGGTGGCACCTTGGAGTAGAGAGAGAGAGCATTTGCTCACGGAATGATAGTAACTTCTAAAATGCAGCTGATATCAGGGATAATTTATGACCATTTTGACAGAGATTTTCAACTATACACATGTCTAGGGGTGTGTGTGTGGGTACACACATAGACATTTATACCTGTCTATATATATACACACACACAAAAATACACACAATTTATATGAATACATACAAACTAGGAAGTCTGGAAGGACACATACCACAGTGTTAACCAGCAGCTCTGGGCTACTATCTGTGGCAATAGAGTGAAGAATGGATTACATTTTCCTCTTTAGCTTATGTGCATTCTTTATCCCTAACTAAAGTCTTCATGATGAACATGGAGCACGGACACAAAAATTTTTTAAGTGACTGAACAGAATAAAAATATTATGCCCATTTAGCATATCTATGTCTTTATTTTCATTTTACAAGCATTACATATGCCTAAATGCTAAAATGTCAGTAAAATTGAGTCTATGCCAAAAAGATTAGATTATTTCAGATATTTTTTCTTCCCTATGCATAAACCACACATACAAAAAGCTTCTTTAACTCTTATCTTGAGCATGCATACCTGAATGTTTTCATTCAAAGCTTTGTCCTGTCGCCAGGGAGCTACGGTGGCAGGCATGAAGAAGACTGCGGTGGTGCCTTGGATGCTGAGTTCCGTGATGTAGGTAATTTTGATAAGGATCTTAGCCTTAGGGGGTAAGTTGCCAACACTTACAGTAAAAACGTCCTGAAATAGAAACATATTACTTAGCCTGCACCTCAAAAGCATATCCATTCTATGCTAGTTGATCCTTTCTATTTCATAAACCACTTGAATTACAGTCTGACAGCTTTCTCCTCAGAAAACAGGAATAGAGTGTACAAGACAAGCATTGGTAGTGCTAAAGGAGAATCCTGGAGCCGTTCTCAGTGGGAGGACAGTGTGACATCCAGAGGGGGCATAGCAGGACCCTGCCCTGACTGGGGAGCGGCACCCCGCGGCCTCTCTGCCCCAGAGGCCCTGCGTGCAGAGCTCTGCTGCACAGTCTCCACGGAGCCCCTTCTTGAAGGACCGGTGGCCTCTCTGACTCCACAGCGCCCAGCACCACCAGCAGCTGTACAGCTCAAGCAGTTTTCCCTAAGCTTGGCCCTCACTTAATTCTTTACCTTATAGTAAATTCATCATTTTATTTTTTAGAAAAGTACTTCATTTTCTTTTAATGGGATATTGATAATTGTTGCATAAGGAGAGGAGACAACCTCATGACTAGTCAGGGCAGAAAAAACAGACGCTAGATGTATTCTTTTGATACCTACACAGAGAACCTTTTAATACCCCAGCCACATCCTCCATTCTACTTGGACTGTGCTGCCATGAAGATTAGGTATGTTTAGATTAGGAGTGTATAATATTAATGATTAATACAGATTTAAGGGATAAATTATTACTTTTGACATAAAAAATATCCATTTGCAGGATGGAAATAAACAATGAGGGAATCTTATTAAATGGTTTATAAACCACACATCTATGGACAGCTAATTTTTAACAAGGGAGCAGAGAACACACAATGGAGAAAGGAGAGTCTCTTCAATAAATGGTGTTGGGAAAACTGGACAGCCACATGCAAAAGAATGAAAGTGGACCATTATCTTACACCATACACAAAAATTAACTCAAAATGAATGTAAGACCTGAAACCATGAAACTTCTAGAAGAAAACATAGGCAGTATGGTCTTTGACATGGGTCTGACCAGGCAATGGAAACAATGGGAAAAATAAACAGATGGGACTACATGAAACTAAAAAGCTTCCTCCCAGCAAAGGAAACCATCGACAAAAAGGAAAGACACCCTAACAACTGGGAAAAGATATTTGCAAACCATATATCTGATAAGGGGTTAATATCCAAAATATATAAAGAGCTCATACATCTCAACAACAAAAAAACTAACAACCCAATTTAAAAATGGGGAAAAGATCTGAACAAACATTTCTCCAAAAAAGATATACACGTGGCCAACAACCACATGAAAAGATGTTCAGCATCACTAATTATCAGAGAAATGAAAATCAAAACTACAATTAGGTATCACCTCACTCCCATCAGAATGGCTATAATTAATAAAACAGGAAAGAACAAGCGTTGGAGAGGATGTGGAGAAAAGGGAACCCTCAAACACTGCTGGTGGGAGTGCAAACTGGTGCCGCCACTATGGAAAACAGTTTGGAGATTCCTCAAAAAATTAAGAATAGAACTATCATATGATCTAGCTATTCCACTGCTGGATATTTAGCCAAAGGGCATGAAAACACAAGTGCATAAAGATACATGCACCCCTATGTTCATCGCAGCATTATTCACAATAGCCAAGACTTGGAAGCAACCCAGGTGCCCATCAAGGGACAAATGGATAAAGGAGATGTGGTATATATACACAGTGGAATACTAGTCAGCCGTAAGAAATGATGAAATCCAGCCATTTGTGACAACATGGATGGACCTTGAGGGTATTATGCTGAGTGAAATAAATCAGAAGGAGAAAGTCAAATACCGTATGATCTCACTCATAAATTGTAGACAAAAACAACAACAAACAAACACACAGAGACAGAGATTGGATTGGTGGTTACCAGAGGGGAAGAGGGGAGGGGGGATGGGTGAAAGGGGTGATGAGGCACAGGTGTGTGGTAATGGATTGTAATTAGTCTTTAGGTGGTGAGCATGATGTAATTTACACAGAAATCGAAATATAATGATGTACACCTGAAATTTATATAATGCTATAAACCAACGGTACTGCAGTAAAAAAATATATATGTTAAAAATTTTTTAAAAACCAAAACAGTTTATAGTGCTCGCCCTTAAAAGAAGTGCACAGAAGGCTGGGGTTCATTCGAGAGTCTGCTACTTAATAGTGTGGGGGTGCAGCTCTGTTTCTGTGTAGGATATAGACAGATGCAAGAGGTCATTTCCATTATAATAAGCCAGATTATCTACAAAATCCTAACTTGTCTTGAACCTGTCAGAAAGCTGAATTCCAAAGAGTGACAAGCCCCTCTGAGGACGGACAGGACAAGGGACCTGTGTGAATTCCTACAGGCTAAGAGTGGGCTGGTTTCTGGTCTAGACTGACGGGGCACTCCTGATATAGGGGAGTCTGCACTCACTCGGAAGCTTTTTTCTACAGTGGGAGGAAAGGCAGCCTCCCTCCAGCCTTGGTTTTGGCACTAAATTTTCTCTTTATTTTCCCATTTACTCTTTACCTAAGCCTTTCTGTTACTTCCTCACTTAAATATTTGGGATTACAAGCTAGACCTCTATCATTGTAAAGAGCATATTAAGATTTATGAGTCAGATATGGACTGGCTGCCACAGGAGCAGAAAGCAATGGCGCCCAACCTCTCCTGGGGGACGGAAGGAAAGCTTTAATTGTCCCTTAGCTGAAGAGATGTTTAAGCTCAGATTTTAAAAATAATTTTTAAAAAAATCAAGCAAACAAATGGAGTTAGAGCATTCCAACCAGAAGAACAAGGGCCTCTGCAATGGCATCATGTTTTGGGGAACTACAAACACCTCAGGCTGATCGGGGTATGAAGTGGGAAGAAGAAAGTAGTGTGATGAGATTGAAGAAGTGGCAAGGCCATCCCTTGGAGGGTCTTCCACACCATACCAACGAGCCAAGGGGGTAACTACGGGCCCTACATTAAAGTAACGGTGATAGGAAAGGTGATGACATGGGCAGATTCCACAGATACTTAGTAGGAAACTTCAACAAACAATTAATTGGAAATGGGTAATGGAGGAGAGGGAAAGGAAGACATGAAGGATGATCCCAGTTCTCCCACTTGACTGACTGGGTAAATGGTGACGCCATTGTTGAGACAAGGAAAAGAGAAGGAGGAAGCAGTCTGGAGGGGAAGGGAATGAGATCAGCTTTAGACATCTTATCTAATAAGTATGTGGTTTTTAAAATACATATATATATATATATATATATATATATTTTTTTTTTTGGTGAAGAAGATTGGCCCTGAGCTAACATCTGTTGCCAATCCTACTCTTTTCGCTTGAGGAAGATTGTCACTGAGCTAACATCTGTGCCCATCGTCCTCTATTTTATATATGGGACACCACCACAGTGTGGCTTGATGAATAGTGTGTGGTTCCACGCCTGGGATCTGAACCCCAGAACCCTGGGCCACCAAAGTGGAGTGTGCGATCCTAACCACTATGCCACTGGGCCAGCCCTTAAATATATTTTTATTTTTAATTACTGATTTATTTTAAGGAACACTCCACTCTGTTTTTTTTGACCTGAGTTCAAAATGTATTAAATGAAAGATTAATTTATATACCAAAGGTGGGCCAATATAAATTTGTGTCTAGACATTTATACAGACTCTCTTCATTGTGCCTTAACCCAAGAATCTTACAGAGAAAAAAACCCATATAATTTTAAACTAAATTAGACTGAAGCTTCCTTAAGTCAATGTGCTAGCGACCTTTCCCTAGGTCTGGCAGCTCAGGTCCTTTTCTGCTTCCCCCTTTACCATTTAACACTTAAAGGAAGGTGCTCCAGGGCTGCATAATGCCAAGTCTGTCCCCATGCCATCTCAGGGACCCCCATGATGACTCCCAGAGCCCCACATCCAGTGCAGGCCTCTCTCCAGAGCTTCTGACCAAATTTCCAGCTGCCTCAGGGACCTGTCCCCTTTGGTCTCTTGAACTTGTCATCTCCTGCCCTCATGACCTCCATACCCACATAGAAACTGCTTCTCTCAACTCCCTACCTTGATGAACATCCACACCAGAACTGTCCAAGTGTCAGTTTTGACTCTTCTCTCTGCCACACCCTCCCACCCTCCAATCTTTAACCAGTACTGTGCATGTTCCCTCCCTAACATCTTTCACATCTTTTGTATCCTCTCCATTTCCACTGTCACTGTTTTAGTTCAGGCCCTCATTATACCTCTTGTCTAGATTACCACAACAGTCACCAACTGATCTCTATGATGGACTGCATGTTTGTGTCCTCCCAAAACTCCTATGTTGAAACCCTAACACCCAATGGGATGGCATTAGGAGGTGGGGCCTTTGGGAAGTAATTAGGTGTAGATGAGGTCATGAAGGTAGAGGCTGAATGATATAGTTAGAGTCCACATAAGAAGAGAAAGAGACTAGAGCTTCCTGTTGCTGCCCCATGAGGAAACCAGGAGGAGGGTCTTCACCGGACTCCAACCACGCAGGCAGCATGAGTTCGAACTTCCTAGCCTCCAGAAGTGTGAGAAATCAATTGTTGTTAAAGTCACCCCATCTATGGTATTCTCGTTATAACTGTCCAACCCAAGACAGTGTTCTGTGCCCCAAGGTGTCCCTCAGACCACTCCATCCTCCTCATTACCACCGAGTGTTCTTTCTCAAAGGCGAGTTTTACCAGCCAATCCAAAATACTTCTATTTCCCAAGGAACTCTGCTCTTTCGGATCTCTTACAGCCTGTGCAGACATGTTCCCTCTGCTTGCAAGGTCCTCACCTCTTACTTTGTCTGGGGAATTCCCACTTATCATTTAAGACTGAGCTCGAGGGCCTTTGTCCTGGGGAAGTCTTCCCTGACTGTCCTCTGCCTCATGGTTCCACTACCACATTAAATACATGTCTCCGTGCTGCACGTGTTAGCACACATCACACTGACTTGTTGAGTTGCTTACCACACGAGACCCTGAGCTCCACATGGGCCCATCTGTTAGCTTTCAGCCACTAGCATTCGGCACAGGTACTAATGTTGGTTTAGTTGTTGAACTAGAGAAAGTGGTGGTCAAAAAGTCACACTACAAGGGGTCTTTAGGGACGACTGTTGTCCGGCATGTGGGAGCTGCAGGGAACCTCCGTGGGAGCGCTCAGTGGCCTGACGGCAGTCACTGCAATACACTGAGCAGGAAAACAAGTCAGTCTTGTGCTGAAGGGAAAGAGAGGAATGGTCTGCTGAGAGAAGAGATAAAGGGGAGGTCTGCTTTACTTTTTAGGGCAGATAGGGCAAGAAGAAAATGCAAGTAGCGAGGCAGAAATTGGCAATATAAGTGAGAGGAAATGATCGATGGAGCAAGCACTAGGAAAAGGTTATACGAGAAGGGATTAGCATTAGCAATAATCAGGGAGGAAAGGAGAGATGAAACTGAGGATATCATTTTTGAGTTGGAGGGAAGGAAAGCTAAAAGAATTTGTGATTTATAATCATTTTTACTTGAAATAACAAGAGGGGTCACCTATTGATAGTAGCAGAAATAGAGATAAGGTTGCTTCTTAAGGAGAACAATAAAAGATTGAAATAGCTGCTGCTGAGAATGAAACAGAGAGGCTAACGGGGGCGAAGAAAAGGACTGTGGAGGAGCAGTAAGAGGACTCGCCACGGGGAGCAGTGTGGAGAGCACCACGCGCGGGTCTTCCTGCGAGACGAGCTTCTGCCAACTTTACCCACGCTTCTGATATGATGTTTGTCATCTTAAGTATCCCCACACAACACTCAATGCCCTGGGTGTCTAAAGCCAACCGGCTAGTCTTCTGACAGTCAGGGACATTATATACATATATAATATATATAACACAAAATATGTTACTATTTTTACATTATCACATATAATATTACACATGATGTATATGCTATATATAAGTATAATGTTCCCAACTATCAGAAGACTAACAGATAATATGTATTTACATAATATATAAACATGCAATAATACATATATAACATATAATACTGATATATTATTATATTTATTATACAATAATTACATACAATTATAGTATTTATTCTATATTTAATTCTATATTTTTATATATTATATTAACATTATTTACATATTACTGTATAATAATTATTATATGATTACTATATGTTATATTATTAACATCAAATATCATAGTATAAGAACAGCATAGTCACTGGATGGCAAAATACATTCTAGGAGACCCAAAGGCTCTGGTTAGCAATGGTTCTGACCAGACTTTACCCATAGGTAATATCTTTTGTGAAGTCTGTTTTCCTGCGGACCATGCTTCTAGGGAACTATGTTAGCATCAAGGAGGAAACGCGCATACCAAGTCATTTACGACAATAACCCCACCCTGGTAAGTGGCAGCCTGTGAAGTGAACACCAAGCTTTTACACACGCGCTTTGGCTGGGGGGTGGCGTTATTAACTATTTAACAATGACCTCTTTCTTGCTTATTCCCATCCTGCAAATGGATACCTTAGATGTCAAAAGTAATAATCTATCCCTTAAATCTATGTTAGTATTTAATAATTCCCCCTCCAAACATCAAATTTTCACACTACTATGTCAACGTGTCATCCTCAGAGAGATATCTGAAGCACGTGGCCTGTCTTTAAAAACAACTAAAACACTAGAGATACTGGTTAGAAAGTGACTGAATGGAATCTAGCGTACACCAAAGGCACCAGAGGCACATTTAAAACATCTTATATTTAAGAAAAGAAATCCAGTGGACAGGATAGTTGTTCCTTCTTCCTTATTCTCCACCTTCTATCCCTACGAAGGTAAATAATCAGAAAGGAAAGAACCTGGACCTATCTTAGGACCCTACAGAAAAACCTCCCTGGGTTAGGATTTGGTGACAATTGGATAAATTGTTAGGCAAGCTTAGTTCTAGGAAAAATGTAAATACATTAGTCCTTGAGCAGAAGATGAAAATTATGTATCCCAAATGTTTTCCTTTTGTTGTCACTTCTGGGAAACTCAGTTCTCAGTGACAGAAATAGCTCTTCTTATTTGTTTGGCAATATTGAGGCCATTTCCTTCTTTATTTAGATAAGTCAAATGTGTGTGACCAGCTTGACTTCCCCTTGCTAACACCAAGTGAAACTCTAGGGCCTAAAATAGCATAAATTATCCTAGTTTCTGGTATGAATTTCATATTTTACATCATTTTCCAACTCTTTCTCCCTTTCTAGTAAGTGCACCAGACCAATGGATGAGCAGCAAACCTACGGGTGCATCCTGATCCATCAAGTAAGCGCCGTGGCCTTGACTGATCGCGGTTCGGTATTCTCGGTGGGCTTTTTCCTTCTCCTCAACCTGGAAAAGATTATTTTTATACCAGTCATAATATGAATAGTGATTTCAGACTTTAATAAGGAAAACCATCAATGTTTCTTAAAACCTAGGCAAAAACAGAAAACTAAGAGTCTAAGATGAATGAAAACATATGAAGTGATCATCAAAATGTACTTATCTAATAAGAATCTGAACCAGAAAAGACAAACTAAAGAGACTTCTCTTTAAGTTGGGACTAACATATTTCAGAGTCAAAAGAGAAAAGAAAGTTTGATTGGGACTTTATGTTGAACAAAAAAATAATAAATTAAGTTTATCTCAAATTTAATAAAATGTGAATTATTATTGCAACTGTGGGTTAGCCAATTCCTTAGAATAAACAAAGAATGAATCAACTGTTATTCCTTTTGGTACAATTTTTCTTAAAAAGTTACAAGAATAGCCTTCATTTCAGTTTGACTTTTACAGCAGGGTACAGAGAATCAATCAAATTTTGCAAAAATATGTAAGAGCCTCACTGATTTTCCAGTGTGCCTCTGTTAAACTTTTGATACTGAAATCACTCCGTTTTGAAGTGCCTAGGCAAAGAATTTGCAAGTCACTGACCAATGAAAGCTGGACAGGTAGGGAGAGAAACCAGTCAATCAGGGAGGGATGTTTGAGTGGAGGCTAATTGTATAAGTGCTTGGTTCTTCAAAGAATATTTCAGGTGGGGCCAGCCCGGTGGCACACTGGTTAAGTTCATGCGGTCTGCTTCGGTGGCCCAGGGTTCGCAGATTGGGACCCTGGGTGCAAACCTAGGACCGCTCATCAAGCCACACTTTGGCGGCATCCCACGTAAAACAGAGGAAGACTGGCACAGATGTTAGCTCAGCAACAATCTTCCTTAAGCAAAAAGAGGAAGATTGGCAAGTGATGTTAGCTTAGGGACAATCTTCTTCACAATAAAAAAGAATATTTTTTGTTATAATACGGCTGCTACTCAACTTTATAGCTTGGAGACTCAGATAATGAAGCTTTGGGTAATTGGCAAACTGATTTTGAAACTAAAGAGCAGTCACAATGCATTTTCTCCCCTTACCTCTCCTACTATGTGTTTCCCATTGATGAATGCTTCAAAACCACACACAGCCGCCTTATCATCCAAAGGAAAAACGTATTTTGCCTCAATGGGCACAGGATTTTGATTTGTGTATGTCTGGAAAACAATGACCTGAAGGAGAAGAAAATCCATTTATCAGATGAAACCATACGGGACAACACTTGCAGGAACAACTATTAATGATAACTATTACGCATATTTTCTTGAAATTCCTTGAATTTTTATCTTGTCCCTCAAATTCCCAGCCCTAGCTTCAGGAGTTAGAGCAGCCTGTCATTGCCATGTAGAGTCCACGTCACAGGATAAAATGCATGTTTAGACAGTTCCTACATACCTGGCTGGAATAAAAGTCAGTAGAAGTATTACAAATACTGGCTTAACAGAAGCATCAGCTTTCATTAAGATGTTGAGAAAACAGCCCCTTTTATGTGTGGGCCTTGGTGTCACATGGGCATGTGGGCTCAGAGACTATTCCAGAAAAGTTCTTCTATCTGGTCTGCTTTCAGGTCTTGGCATTTCCTCATTTAGCTCTTTGTACACAGCCCTCTGGCAGCTTTCTCATCATCCTCATCTCTTACTGTCTGGCTGACTCCTGAATCACATCTTTCCCATGGCTATCTGCTGTCTCTATTGTTATCAGATTAATTTTTCTAAATGGACCATGTGTATCATATCACTCCCTGGCTCAGAAAAAGGCTGGAGTCTTTAAATACTTGAAAGATTTTTTAAAAAAACAAACAGATGTGTAATAAATAGAAAAATTTTACCATAATTATTACTTAACCAAAATTATTACATAGCCATAATAAGGCAAAAATATTTAATCATTTGTAATCAATAATCTCTGAGAAGAGATTGAAGTGAAAATTTTAAAAAAAGCAAACCAAATTCCAAAAAGCTGCTCACAACTGAATTTACTGTAAGCTGGCTGCCCCCAGGGTGTGTGAGGCACCAGATAAAAATTTTTAAGGGGCCTCTGTCTATTTGAACAATTTGCATGTCCCCAAATCACCTGGTCACTACCCTCCAGGAGACCCAATCTCTTGTAATTCTGTAAACGAAGGCCTTGCTGACTGGTGGCTACACATTCGCCAGGCAGTTCCCCTGGAACAGGGGACTGGCCCTGGCCCAAGATGATCCCATAGGCTCAAATCCTAGAGTTTCCTGGGTGTCTGGAAACTCTAGAAGGTCGGAGACAGCATCCGGCAGAGGAGAAGCGGGTTTGGAGCCAAGTAGATTACTGGCTGGGAGATGTCACACACTTTCCTCGTGCACGGAACTCCCTCCCTTCCTCTCTTAGATATCCACAGTTTTACCAAACCCCTCAACGGCACATAGGCTCAACTTGCAACTGATGAGTAGGATCATCACTTAATTGTATTTTGGTTCAGGCTAATGTCTTCATCCTACTCTGTCCATGTCCTGCCTACATGTACTTAGCAGGTCTGTCTTTGCACATGAGTTCCCAGAGGTCAGGCCTATGTCAGCTTCATTCTCTTTGCACACCACATTGTATGACTGGGCACTCGGAAAGTAAGAAATTTTAGATGATGATAAAAGTACTTTTACTCGGATTTAGAAGAGAATACACTGTACAAATTTTTGACATCCTAATTTTTCTCCTTCAAACAAAACCATTATTTTAGTTTAGCTGTTAAACTAAAACCATTAAACTCATTCCAAGAAGAGTGAAACGTGTGAAACGTGTGAGCCAAGAACATACAAATTCCCTGCTGCGGGGCCTCCACTTGGACACTCAGGTCAATCCACAGGCCAGCGGGCTAATCACAAATTAGTGCAAAATTCACTGCTAAATCACGACTTAGTTTGTGGATAAACTTCCCCACTGAAAAAGCCTCATCAGGTTTGACATATCAAATGGTGAAAATGGCCTAATGCAAAGTGACATACAGAGGACACACGCCTCTCCTTGAACACAGCCATCGTCTGTTCACATCCACTGGATGAGAAAATATCCTGGGTCCTGTACATTCAATATACCTAATAGTCAGAACACTGTGGGCAGATGCTATTATTTCTATTTTACAGATGAGGAAACTGAGACACAAAAAGGCTAAATAACTCCCCAAAGCTCACAGAGCTAGAAAGGAATTAGCAAGGATTCAAAGCTAAGCCTTTCAAACTCCAAATCCTTGGCTTTATACAATCCATACCACATTGCACTACAGCACGGTGGTTAATTAGGAACCTGGACTCTACAACAAGAATGATCTGAGCCCAAATTTGTGCTTTATCATATTGTTTAATGTCTCTGAGCATCAGCTTCCTCATCTAAACAATGGGCATAATCATAGCACTTACTTCATAGAATTTTGGGGAGAATTAAATACAGCACATGAAAAACTCAACCTAGGACCTGATTCACAGGAAGTGGTAACCACTGTGGTCACAGCTCCTAAATGGCTCCAAAAGGATTAGCATATGTACATCATCTCCCATGCGTCAACATCCGGGTCTTCCCAAAGTCTGTGATGTTCCCCTAAGGTACTTCAGGGATGTGAGTACGGATCAGATTGGACCCGGGAGTAGTGGTCAGATACATCCAAACTTGTATAAATACCATGAGTGTGATAAGAAATTTTTACATACTGAGGTATATGGGGTAGCTATTCTGAATTAAACCTGATTCAGCTTAAACTAAAGCAACCTGATTTATGGCCTATCAAACATACACTGTACATCTGCTTTTAACCATTAAAGCAAAGAATGCATTAACCATTATCTCAAAGTCAAAGAATGCATATTTTCTTTCCTACAACCCCAGTATGGGTAATGCCAGTATCAGTCCTCCTGAAGATAAGCTTCCTTTCCCCAACATTAGGGTCATGTTGACCTGCTAATCTGTGACTATACATCTCTGAAACTTTGATGAATATGTATCGTGAATACACATTCAGGATGAATACGTATTTTCTTTGTTCTAAAAAGGTACAAAACTTTCCTGAAAACCATGCTTCTCTGGAGTACTTTCTTCCTTTGTTAAGGCTTCTCTCCTAGGTTATTATAATCCTCAACTTGGCTTAAATAAAATTCACCTTCTCTCTCTTATCTATAGAACAGTTATTGGTTATTTGCACTGACATTTCTTGGTGTACTCAGTAGGATTTCAGAGGAACTTACTGAGACCACCTGGAATCTACTTTGAACTGACACTTGAGACCAGCACGGGCCGAGTGGGCCCCCCGACTTCACTGTACTCTTCAGGCACCCGGGTCACAGATCCTGACCTTCGCTTGAGCTGTTGAAGTCATAAGACTAGGCGTCCTAAGAGGGCACCAGTACACATCCTAGGTAAGAGGAACCTAGGGGGAATTCCTAGGCCAGGGGAGCTTAGGAGGAACTTTGGAGTGAATGTGCAGGCTGACCTTTTTACTTTGGCTTTAAATTGGAAAGAATTGTGTCTACAAAGTCTGAACAAACTGTTTAATAGCAAAATGAGAGACAACTTGTTCAGCTCTGAAGAGAAAAGACACAGCTCTTTCCAGCCATAAGGTGTTCTCAGGCGACTGAGAACCTAGTGAGAGTGTCTGAGGCTGAGCCTCATGACGTGCAGCGGTCTCACAGGGAATTCCATCACGATACCCAGGGCTGCGCAAATGAGGATTGGTCATTTAGCGCTCCGAGTCCCCATGGTAGTTTTAGACCTTTGGCGGGAGAAACCGAGACACGTGAGAGTGTTCATGGCCTTACAGGAAGTGGCACTCACAAGCAGCATACTTCTGACCACTACACTGCCCTCAGAAATTGTTCAGACTTTATAGTAAAAGCCGACCAGTTCCTGAATGGGCAGCCTCCCCTAGAACTCTGGCTGGCTTCAGGTACAATATGTATGGAGCTGATACCTGCAAGTGCTAAGAAAATGGGGATAACCATAAATGGCTGGATCTTTGAATCAAGATAACCCAGGATAATTTAAAATTACAATAGCCATTTTGGGGCTCCTTTGAGTTTCCAAAACTTGTCTTTTTGTGCACTAGATTTAAGAGCCTCAGAGCAGACATATTAAATGCAATCTTTAATCTCTAAAGAGTCAAGTGGGCCACCTTCCAGCACAACTGCTCCAAAACTAAAGGTTCGGGAAGCTGTAAATATTTATGAAGAACAGCAAAATCCCACTAAGCTTGTTTCATGTCCTGAGAGTTTGGCTTGATAATCATCAGGTTCAGGACCCCAAAATATGGTCAGACAAAAATGCAGCCGCACCCCATTTACAGTCAGACAGAAATGTGGGTTGATCTCCATCGGTGGCTAGGGTCCTACCAAACTGCCACCAGCCTCAGGGTAGTTACACTGGCAATTAGAAGGAACATTCCAATTAGAGAGGATCATTTAAGAAGTATACTTAAAAGCAAAGGCTTCAAAATTCCAAAATAACCTTATCGAAAGTTTTGTTGCAAAAAGCTAATAAAAAATTAAGTTATAGTTTTACAGACACCCGCATAATCTACCTTTGAAGGAGGGTTGAATAGGAGCCCCTCCCAGAGTTAACAAGACTCTGAGAGATTTTTTTGGAAATTGTTACATTATTCCCTTAAACAGTCAAGGGGCAACTAAAATTAAAACTTAATGGAGTTTGGGTCGGCCCCGTGGAGGAGACGTTGAGTTCGTGAACTCCACTTTGGTGGCCCGGGGTTTTGCCGGTTTGGATCCTGGGCGTGGATGTGACACCACTCATCAGGCCACGCTGAGGTGGCATCCCACATGCCACAGCTAGAAGGACCTACAACTAGAATATACAACTATGTACTGGGGGGCTTTGGGGAGAAGCAGAAGAAAAAGAAAAGATTGGCAACAGATGTTAGCTCAGGTGCCAATCTTTAAAAAAAAATTAATGGAGTTGTTTAATGCTGCCAGGAAGAGTTACTATTTGTGTCAGCTGAAACCTAACAAGATATTTGAAAGGATTTAGCAACTTATGATCAGAAATTTGGCCAAATTGGAAGCTGATATTCAAAGCCTGATAGGAATCTTTTTTTAGGCCTTCTTCCCTAAGTTAAGATAAAACTATGTACCCAGAGAGAAAGAAGCAAATTACGGATAATGTAATTGGATGTGCATGTCAGTCCTTTGCTAAGTAACTAACCTCCCCT